TTGAATTTCCTCTCCTATAGTTTTTTGTATGCAGCAAGAAGATTATGCCCTCCCCCTGGAAGGTTGTAGCGAACTTGAGATGTTGATTCAATGTAATAAGTGGTATAAATTGGTACCGAAAGCTTTGCTTTTCCTTATTACGTTTTCCCTTTCCGAAGTTCCTTCAGTGTGTTTTTGCGAAATGAGGAAAAATGGAGAATCAACTCCATGGATTACAGTAATCAGTTGCTATAAAAATAAAAGTGAGCAGTTCAAGTTTAACGACTATATAATCTTTATCAAAAAAAATATAGGAACTCTAATACATTGTAGTAGTCTTGCAGTTTCTTTAACATGCAAAACTTTGAAAATTCATGTAAGAATCACTGGTAGTGAATTTATAGCATGTGATCGAAGAAGTAGAATGCAATGGACTCGTTAATGCTATCAGTTTCTAGGCTTGCTTTCCGCAAACTTGTTCGCCTTTATGACGTTGATTGCTGTTACACACCTATGATTTATGCAAAGAATTTCTTAGAATCTGAACATTGTAGGTCCAGCGAATTTTCCACAACACCAGGTATCTCCTCCATCTTCACTAATCAGTTTCTAGTCAGTACCTATCTTTCAGATGATCGGCCTTTGATAGTTCAGTTTGCATCAAGTGATCCCATCATTTTTGGTTCTGCGGCGGAACTAGTTTACAAGTGAGAAGAGTTTATCAGAAGTTTTGATTAAAAGTTTATGTTTCGCATTTTGCAGGTACGCAACAGGTGTTGATCTCAATTGTGGTTGTCCTAAAAGCGATGTTCGCGCGAAAGGATTTGGCAGTTTTCTTTTAAATCAGCCAGAGCTTCTCGCTGACATCGTAAAACAGTGCAGAGCTCGTATCTCCGATCCAGATTTTACAGTAATCATGATTCCGCTTCTTTTTGCTTTTTTAATGCAAAGCATTTTTACAATTCCCAAGCTTATATGGATTTTGAATTTTGGGGAATCCTGGCTTGTGGACTACTCGACATGATGATCACTTGCATCAAACTTAGTAGTATAGGAGGTCTTAAGTATAATAATAAGAAAGGTTTTTTTAAAGGCAGGTATCCGCAATCACATACGATCTCTTTAACCGTTAGAGTCGCAGTTTTTGTACAAACATCGTATCGCGTTCATACCATTACAATACGATTTTGGTTGTTGAGATCCAGTTTCAGCTTTATCCTAATTTTTGGTTGTGAGAAAATTTAGTGGTTTCATCATATCTTCACAGTTGGGCATTAGAGTAGTTTTGCTGTTTTCATAAAAGAATGTTTTTCCGCAAACTAGCTAGCGTATAAACACCACTAATATCCAACACATTTACATTAAGGTGTCAATCTAGTACGATATTCATTATTAATAAATTATTTCTGTCAGTTCTCAGAGAAACGTATGATATCTCATACGGTGTGCTTACCCTAGTCGCTCTTTGATGTTTTACTGGGCGAATTTTTATCAAAATTTTGAGTTGGGACAAAATTGTGGGGAAGAGCACTTCAAACTTCAAATATAAGTAGATACCATATGTGTAAATTTCTTCATTGCAGATTTCCTTGAAAATTCGCATACAATATCCTCTAGAAAAAACTGTGGATTTGTGCAGGAAGGTACGTAAATCCCTCTAGCTAACTTGAGTTTCCCACTATTGAAAATTTCTAAGGCCGAAAATGCAGGAGTGTCTCACCTTACCGTACATGGACGGACTCCTCAGATGCGTTACGAAGCAGTAGATTACGACGCCATCCGTATAGTCAAGGTAAGTTATCTCCGCAAGAGAATAACAGAAA